TGTGAAATCCACTTTGAATTCCCCACAGTTCTCACTTTAGTAAATAACGCTGCTTTTCTTATCTCTGTTCACCCCATGTGGGTGCAGGAACCTTTCTGCTTTATCTACAGAACAGATTGTTTTAACAATTTCCAATGTTTAACTTCGAGAGATTCTGGGAGTTGGTCTCTTATTGGACCGTGTTTTATGTTCAGTTTTTCCGTGTTGGTTTTCGCAGTGTTAGAAGGTGTTAAAGACGGACGCAGGGGGTGTGCGCCATCTGGTCAAAGCTTATGTGAACGTTTGGGAACCGTCACTTTCCAATATTGTAATATTATTATATTTACTTCTTCCTTGCACTTAAAGGACCACTCTAGGCACCCAGACCACTTCAGCTTAATGAAGTGGTCTGGGTGCCAGGTCCAGCTAGGGTTAACCCATTTTTTCATAAACATAGTAGTTTCAGAGAAACTGCTGTGTTTATGAATGGGTTAAGCCTTCCCCTATTTCCTCTAGCGGCTGTCTCATTGACAGCCGCTAGAGGCGCTTGCGTGCTTCTCACTGCGATTTTCACAGTGAGAGCACGCCAGCGTCCATAGGAAAGCATTATGAATGCTTTCCTATGCGACCGGCTGCGCGCGCAGCTTTTGCCGCGCGTGCGCATTCAGCCAACGGGGAGGAGAAGAGGAGGATCGGAGGAGGAGAGCTCCCCGCCCAGCGCTGGAAAAAGGTAAGTTTTTACTCCTTTCCCCCTTCCAGAGCCGGGCGGGAGGGGGACCCTGAGGGTGGGGGTACCCTCAGTGCACTATAGTGCCAGGAAAACGAGTGTTTTCCTGGCACTATAGTGGTCCTTTAACAAATCTGTGTTTTTGTGAAGACTGAACCACAGATTTTCATTTACTTCTGTCCTGGAACTGGTTGCCGCCATCTCGGCTCTTTGTTTTTCATTGTTATAGGCTCTGTGCACCTGTCAGCATAGATTGAGGAGGACAAAAACCATGTTTGTGTTTCTGCAATGTCTGCCTTGTCCGTGCCGGGACTCTCCTGGATTGTGATGCTTAATAACTTACATTTAAAAGAAAATCGAGGGGAAAAGGCTCCAGGTGACTTCCAGTGTTTTATTTAGTGCGGTCATTTCTCTTGACAGACTCCTCTTTAATAGTGACATATAGGAGGGGCTATTTTATGTGTTAATGCGTGGCAGACCATTGCGCGTGTGCAGCTAGCAGTCTCGTCTGCGCAGAGTTACGGAGAATGGTCTCTCTTCTCTCCAGTGACACAACGCTAGAAAAGAACCCTAAAATGACAAGCCTGTTTTTTTGTTTTTTGTTTTCCAACTTGAATTTTATTGGAGTTTGAGTCAATCATCATGAGGCAGTTGTACAAGATATGTTAATATGGTTTGACAGCAGTATGAAGAACTCACAATGACGTCGTTTACAACAACGTTTTCATAACCGTTGTATTAACATACACAAGATGTCTCGATGACAATGTCACTTCAATGATCTTTTTCCTCCATGCCCCATGACAGTCGGCCGTTTCAGTATACTGATTAAAAAATATAATTGAAAACATAGAGCTTAACCCCTTAAGGACCAAACTTCTGTCACACATGTCATGTGTCCTTAAGGGGTTAAACATTGTTTTGTAAACCTGCGATTCAATAAGATTGTCCTGAGGACTTCGGTACGAGCTTCCCTCTGCATGTCTCCTGTCTCCCGGGGCTTCGTCAGCGCAGAAGTGAGATATTTGAGTTTGTCATTCTTTGGGGTGATAGTCTAAAGGCATGTCTATTGTAAATCCGGATACAAATAAGAGCATATCTGCATTTTGTATGCACATTCACTTTTTATGAATCATGGCTTGTTTAACTGGTTGGATGTATATTCACTCCATAGTCGGCCTGTTTCTTGAGTTGTCTTCCCTATCTGCATTTGCGTTAACATAATTTGTTCATAGGTGATAGCTATAGAAATCTGTTGTATTAGCTAAAAATAGGCCGGGATGGAAGGTATCTTTGAGAATATGGTATACAAGTTTCAGTTCAGGTTTGGGTATTCCTTCAGGGGAATATTTAGAGTAAGAATGTTTGTATTGATACCTCTATGTGGAAGGATGTGCTATCCATTATCATTTCTGCTACTTTATACCAGTATAGTTGTTCCTGGGGACATGTCCACCAAACATGGACCATGATGAGAGCTCTTTTGTGTGCGAGATATGCGTTTCACCAGGAGTCTGATGGGATTTCTTTCACCTAAATCTTTTTAAAACACCTAATTCTACCTGTCTCTGTGTGTAGCATAGGGACAATATTTTCTTGTGAGGACGTTTGGCAAGACACATTTTTTTTCAAAGTCTTTGTTCTATTTCTTTGAGTAATTTCTGATAATTAAACTTAAAAAGTGCTAGAGGGTTGCTTGAGATTTTTATTCCCCAATACACTAAAAAGTGTCTTAGTTAAAGGCCAGTTTCAATCTGTATATCAGTTCTGTAGGCAACCCTAATCCTAGTGCTCGAGTCTTGGACATGTTAAATTTATAATACAATACTTAACTGTAGGCTTGTAAAATTATAAATTTGGTAGGGAGACAAGTGGTTATGTTATAGTTAAGAGGATGTCATCCCCAAACAAGTTTAATTTATAGTCCCTGTCTCCTATTGTGAATGTTGGTATTACAGCAAATGGCTATGGCTAGTGGCTTTAGTGCAAGCACATATAACAGCGGTGACAAAGGGCACCCCTGCCTGGTTCTGTTGTTGATGGTAAATGGATACGATATGAAGTCAGAGCTTATGACCACTGCCGACAGTGAGCTACACAAGGCTCACATGGTGGCTAAGATCTCTTTTGGAAAGCAAAATTTGCTGAGGGATGCCTCAAGGAACTGGCATTTAACTGGCATTTTCGGCATTGAGACCAGCAGTCCCTCTCCTTCCCTCTGTTGCAGTACTTGCAGAATACCAAGTACCTTTTTCATATTGTCAGCATCTTGTCAGCCTGACACAAACCCTACTACGTCATCCATAATTAAGTGTGGCATAAGTAGTGTTGGGTAATCTAAGGTTTTATATGTATGGAATATAGATTGAATAATATCTGATGATATTCACACACACAAAGAGCCTTCAGGGACCCTGTAGTTCTTTGTTTTAAGCGATGATATAAACACTTATGAACGGCAGATGGACAATAAACAGACTTTGCTAGAAAATATATACAAATTAAATAATACACACTATAAAATGTAAAGCAACCAGACAATACAATTATAATCAATTTGCTATATTATATATGAGTTTATATCAACAAGTCAATTAGTTTACTTGACAAGCCTAAGAGTCAACATTACACTTTGTCTCATCTATAATCTTGTCAGCAAAGGACAAAACAAGCTATTACAAACTTCACAGCAATACCAGTATACAGAATTAATCATATGACACCCCCTGCATTAATGATACAATGGTCATTATATTAATTAGTTAAATATCAACCAACCCTGCCAAGTATATACCATCAGTTTAACTACAGTACGTTTATATAAGGTTTCTGATAGCCTTAGTGTGTGTGTGTGTGTGTGTGTGTGTGTGTGTGTGTGTGTGTGTATGTGTATATGTATGTGTATGTATGTATATATATATATATATATATATATATATATATATATATATATATATATATATATATTAGTTTAAGCAGACTGATCTACTTCTAAAGAAGGAATCAAGAATGTTCTGACTTAGGAAGTTATATCTGACTCAGGCTGCAGGTAGAATGAGATATAACTGTTCTATCAATAGGGATCAGTTCACAATATAGACACATAGGGCATTCAATAGGCCAGTTTATTTAATATAAAGTAAAGAGAAACCTTTATACATTATCAAGTGAAAGCTGAAATAGTTAACTTTCCTTGTTCATATGTATTTTATGCTTAGATAAGGTTTATAATCATTAGTACTGACTGTAAGGATATGAAATAGTTAAACTCTTTCTTGCTTTAAAATAATGTTTGAAATAATTATGCTGACTTTGGCAAATGTATTTTGTACCAAGGTCTTTCGTCTACAGGATGTATGACCTTCCTTGACCTTAGGATGTTCCTGTCTCGTCTTTATCCAAATGCTTATCTTTTTCATGTCCGACAAGTATGTACTATTAACTACAAGGACACTATAGATCTCACTGTTTGCATGACAAACTGTGTATAAATGCTAGCCCTGAAAATATACTCATTGAGAACTTGTTGAGCACTCTTTCGTGTCTGTGTGTCTTATTTGCCAAACAAGATCTCCCATCAATTGATGTGGTGACGGGGGATCGAGAATCGAGGGGAGTTGAGTCCAGAACAGCATTTATCCTTTCAGCTTGGTGTCTAGAAGTGGGATCAGCAAAACCATTGGGTGAGTAGCCTTTTTGTGTCTTATTGACGCTAATTGTCTATGACCCCCTTTGGTTCAGTAAGTCTGTATCCAGTAGAAAGGAAAGGTGTAAGGACTTTAGTTATATTGAGACTGTAAATAGGTCTCTGGTTTATTAGACATTTGGTCTAAATATATATAGGGGTTCTTGGTAACCCAGGTTAGTATCTAAGATAGATACAGGTTTTTGAGACCATAAGAGGTCTCCGGTTTATTATAGGGTTTTGGTAACCCAGGTTAGTATCTAAGATAGATACAGGGTATCTCAGGTAGATACAGGTTTTGAGACCATAAGAGGTCTCCGGTTTATTAAGATTATAGGTGTTCTGAGGAGCACAGTTTAAAGATCTATAAGTATACCCCAAACTTCTCTTTCTCCTGGTCACCTTTGTTTGTCTTAAGTGTTCTTTGTGGGTTATTGTCTGTATTGGGGACACACTTTGGTAAGTTAGTAGTGTGTCTGCCCTGAGTCAGCAGTATGGGAAATGTAAGTTCAGGTCCTGAGTGACCAATATGTATATATATATATGTATATATATATATAAAAGATACCAGTACTGTATATTAGAAAAGAACTGACTCGCAGGTTCTACCTGATAGATCTACTTAAATCTTTTGCTTTATTCTTTATGTCGCATAGAAGTATAGTTTGTAAGTTATTTCACATAGGATCTGTGTGCCTGGTATGATTATTACTTTAATACCATAAGCCCACTACACTTTCTATGAGAGTGGGATAGTGTAAATGTGTTGCATTGTTTGCATGATGAGCTCAGTATTTTTATAACTGAGACAAAAAGTCACTTCATTAGTATTTGAAAGTTAATTCCCCGTATGGGATTAATTGTATAGAACACCAATCAGCACATCTTCCCTGCCCTGTGTGTTTGTTGCAAAGGATCCATACTGTAAATATGATTTGTTTGTAAATAAGAGCAACATTTACATTTTCAGCGGTCCAACACATGCTTCATTTTGTGCTGAAAGCTAACCTTTTTATTGCTACAGATGCTTTAAATGATTCAGCTACTGCATATGTTTTGTGTCTTCTATGTCTCACATTATATGTGTTCTTTTAAATTGTGGTATATAGCCTGGATCAGAGCTCATGGACAAAGGTTTTTACCTGTGTTACAAAGGCTCTTGGAGACTGACCGGTCTAAGGTTTGCCATGCCTTATAACATGGTATAGTATAAAAAATTTTTTAAGTCTCTGAGAGTTCTGAAAGATTCGGGTGAAACCATGTCTGTGTAATCTGGTCCAGATGTTTGCAAAATTTCTGTAAGATTTAAAATTGATGCAGCATCATCTCAGATTAGTTAATGGACGTTTCAGACAAATATTTGAGTTATGAGCGCGCTATATAAATGGATCCTTTCTTTATATACAATACTGTAGTAGATTAAAGTAATGACGTTAATTAGAAAAAAAACAAAAAAAAAAAAACATGTATGCATAAGAATTCCTAAAATAAATTTAATACAAACTAAAATTGGTATACCTTACAATAATATGTTCTGAGTACAGCTGTTAACTGTTTATTCTGTGTAAATGGTGATTGTGATAATGTGTGAAGTGTGCAGCTTAACTGGAGAGTGGTTTAATTTATATGTTGCTGTGTTGTTTTAAATTATATTTGAATCAGTTTGTTTCAGTCTAGTGATACTGATACAAATGCCAGCCAAATAACCTAGCAAATAACTGTTTTATTAGCTGTTGAATACTAGCGTTTTGGCCAAGAGTAGTTTGAGTTGGAGTAGTTCTATGAGCTCAGAGAGGCTCTGTGTTGTGGTCTGGTATAGCTATATGGGAATGGAGATTTGGAGGTGTTAGTTTAAGACTGCTTTCATATTGTGTCTACCCGTGTTTCCTAGGAGGGACACAGAGTGTGTAGTTGCGTGCCCATGAATGTGTTTCCTGTATTGGCATATCTGCTGGGTACCCGATACGTGTATCTACTACGTCTGTTTTGTGAGATGACATGTAATATTACATTGGATGCTGAGTATGAGTTATATGGTTTGAAATGAATTGGTGTGTTATGTGTTTCATGTATTTTATTGTCCATTGTGTAGGAGTTTAACTAGCAGAGTAATTTGCATATCATTAACGCAAGCATTTAGTGTTTTTACAAAAGGTGAAATGCTGTCCAGCCGGCTAGAATGAAACAATTGTATGCTATCGCTCCTGGAGCAAGAAAAGCGCTTGTTACATCCCACGTGAAAGGGGCCCCGCAAACTTCTGCTGTTCAAATCGTGGCTCTTCATTTCCATTTGCAAATTGATTAATCCTGAAAGTCATTCTTTTACTGATAAAAAGGATTGAATGGACAAGATGTCTCTCCCTCATAAAGGAGTTCTAATAGGGGAGTATTGTCCAGCTCAGAGTTAACTCTACTTTTAAAGTATATTGCATTGTTTGTGTCAAAGTAAGATTCATCTAGAATGCCTCATTGATTATGGGGTAATAATAACATGGTATTTTTATTGGAGATTAGACAATTTCGGAAATTTATAAGTGAGTTAATCTTAATCTCCTAAACTACTGTATTATATTTGTATCGGTAAAGTGAAAGCATTTTGCAGATCCAGAAGAGGATAAATATAATAATCTCACTAGGAGCCAAATTATGCAAAGAGGCTATCCAATGTACGCACTAACGGGTTAAACTTGTTTTCTTAAGAAGTGTATAACATATAGTTTTGTGGTTAAACTTTTGATACTCAATTTGAAATATATCCTAACTACATCCTTGCACGGCCTCAGGTACAGGAAGCAATATGTGTTTTAAAATTTTTTGCAAAGTCTTAGTGTTTTCAATATATTATAACAATGGAAAAGTACCTAACCGCATGTCTGCATTATGCTCATGACACAGACTGTCAGTATTTCAAGCCCTATATGAAGGCTATGCTTTCATTGTCGATGTATATACCCCTAGACAACCTTGCTTTTTATACACAATTTAACTATCCATTAAACGTTTAAAAGCTTATTAATATTATATCTGTGTGGTACACAAAGAGGGGGTGTGAGTTCGGTAATCCCGACCTGCATATAGAATATGCTTCCTCCTTGTTCACTTTTGTTCCTTGCTGGTCTGTGACTGGCCCTTTTTGACCCCAAATGAATTTCTTGGGAAGATTCATGAGAAAGATACAGCAGGTTGTTTTGATAGAAAGAAAGAAGGAAAAGGTATGTTGTAGCAGTCACAAGGATTGTGATCCTAAGCAGGCGAGACAAAGAAATTTGGGAGGTGATAGGAGATTGAATCAGAAAAGTTTTAAAGGCAAAGGTAGAGGATTTGGTCAAAGTTTCTAACTTTTGTAGAGGTGGTAACTTCAGCACTGTTTTAATTGTGGATAGCAGGGATTCACCCCAAGGTGCTTGAGGTGAACCCGGTTCTCCTGGTCAAGCTGGCCCCACTGGTATTGATGGTGTCCCTGGCTTCCCTGGTGCTCCTGGACCTCAGGGCCCCAAAGGTTCCCCTGGACCTAAGGGTAACAATGGTGAACCTGGTGCTCAAGGAGACAAAGGAGAACCCGGTGCTAGGGGAGAACCTGGCCCAGCTGGCATTTAAGGACTCCCACTCTGGCAGGTTCCTCAATACCAACCATAACTTTCAAGCTATACCCACACCCAACAACCTCAGCCTAATACACAGATGGTTCATGTTTTTAATACTTTATATATAGTTTTGATAGATAAAACAGTATTAATACTGGCTCTTAGAGGATGTACAAGCTGAAGTTGGGACCTAGACATTGTTTGCATAGGCTGCGCAATGTGAAATAACTAAAATAGGATAATAAGTATGCTTAATCAATATGTAACGTGGTATCCTAGAGGCATCTGCAATAAAATAAGTGTGTTTCCAAGACCTGACAAGTGAGGGCAACTTAATATAACATATGTCTACAGTTTGCTGTCCCTTCCTTATCAGAGGCCACTGGTTTCCAAAGAGGTTATCAGGGTCCACAAAACTGACAGACTTCAGCATTCCAATTTTATTTAAGTAATTAATTGAGATTATCAAATCAAGGTTCAAGTTTAGGAACAAAATTTTATTGGGAATGTATATGCAAATGTTAGTGTTTTAATATTCATCCTAACAAACATTTCTATAGAGTGAGTGCTTCTCTCATCCATACAAGGCATTCTAAAGGGAAATTATGTATTCAAATTTTATAAAGGACAAATTCAATGAATTATAAGCAAAACTGAGAGAAGTACATGTTACACTAGTTAAGAGTTTAACTTTAGTCTCTAATTTGAGTTTAGCCTAGGTAATTAATTAATGATGTTGTATTGATCCTTGTGTTTGTATGATTGTAGAGACCGTCCTGGAGTGTTTGTGACACCTGATTTCTGGGACTACACATCAATCTCTCCGGCTGACCATGCAATAAGTATTTTGCAATTACATCTGTTTGGTCATTATCCATGCAGGCCAAAGAAACTGAGATACTTATGAGGACATAAACTTTGCACGCAAGAACCTGGAAAGTCCTGAAGGTGCAGTGCTGTCTAATACCGCTGGTTCTGTAATAACCCTTTCAACCATTGGGGTGTTGCACAGAGCATTGTGGTGAAAATCCAGCAAACAAAAGAAGAACTATTTGGAAGCTGACATTGTCTTGTTGTCAGCCATATTGCTACCCTTAGCCATTTTATGGAACAAAATGTCTGGTGTCTAAACTGATTTATTTATACTCTGTGAAAGACTTATTCTATTTTTCTGAACTATGCTGAACTATTGAACTATTTTTATTTTTACTTTTGTAGAGTTAGCCGGAGAGAGAGAGGAAGTGTTAGCTGACCCAGAGTTAGCTGTACTATGTGTGTTTTTGATATATGTTGAGTGTGCCAGGATGGATTCCCATGTTTTGTGGAACTGCGTGAGGATATGACTGGTTTTGACTGGACCTTTGGAATAGGGAAATGGTTAAAAGATATAGGACGCAAGGTCCTGGTTATTATTGTCAGAATTTCAAGCTAGATTATAATTTATCTCATGAATTAATATGTAAGAAGTGTTTCCCAATTCCTCCCGATACCCGAGCTATGTACTCACAGGTGCGGGTATTATAAGTCACAAGTGGTGTCAACTGTGAGGGGATGACATGTCTAACACGATCGCGGCCCCCACTCAGGTTTTCCCCAGATGTGCTTTTTCCTCAAATATGAGTTTTTGCCACTGGGTTTTTGCCTGGCCCCAGATCATCGGGTGGACTGGTAATCCTAGACCCCGGTCCTTGAACGGGGGATAGGTATTATTCCCACTTTGACTATATGCGCCCACTTCCGTGGACAAAAGAGGAAAATAACTGTTGGGAATAATACACTTTGCCCATATTTACCCAGGGCTTACGATACAGATGACAGGCTGGTTAGTCTGTTTAAAATTGGTTAACATGTCAGCTATTTGCAATAATATATTTGCTATAAGCCCAAGTTCCATTTTGTCTTAAACATAAATTTTCTATATATCTGTCTGTAAAAGTATTAAGTGTCTTTTTTCCTGCTTAGTTTCTCTTTCTTGTAGACCACATGATTGCTTGGGAATGCCATAATGTGGAAGTGTCTCTGTCCTGGGAAGATCTTATCAATGATATGAGCAAGTGTATTGCTCAAAGAGGGGGGATGAAAGCTGAAATAGTTAACTTTCCTTGTTCATATGTATTTTATGCTTAGATAAGGTTTATAATCATTAGTACTGACTGTAAGGATATGAAATAGTTAAACTCTTTCTTGCTTTAAAATAATGTTTGAAATAATTATGCTGACTTTGGCAGATGTATTTTGTACCAAGGTCTTTCGTCTACAGGATGTATGACCTTCCTTGACCTTAGGATGTTCCTGTCTCGTCTTTATCCAAATGCTTATCTTTTTCATGTCCGACAAGTATGTACTATTAACTACAAGGACACTATAGATCTCACTGCTTGCATGACAAACTGTGTATAAATGCTAGCCCTGAAAATATACTCATTGAGAACTTGTTGAGCACTCTTTCGTGTCTGTGTGTCTTATTTGCCAAACAAGATCTCCCATCAATTGATGTGGTGACGGGGGATCGAGAATCGAGGGGAGTTGAGTCCAGA